TTGGTGGCCTGGGCCTGGCCCCGGGTGCCAACATCGGTGAGAACGCGGCGATCTTCGAAGCCGTGCACGGCACCGCGCCGGACATCGCCGGCCAGGGCAAGGCCAATCCGTGCGCCCTGCTGCTGGCAGCGGCACAGATGCTGGACCATGTCGGCCAGCCGGAAAATGCCGAGCGCCTGCGCAAGGCCATCGTCGCCACGCTGGAGGCCAAGGATTCGCTGACCGGCGACCTCGGCGGCACCGGCAACACGATGGGCTTCGCCAAGGCGATCGCCAGCCGCCTGTAAGCGGCGGCTCGACTCCGATTGCATCCACAGCGGGGCGCCCTCGGGCGCCCCGCTGCGTTTGGCCACCTCCACAGAAACGATCTGTGCATATTTCGCACAGATTGTGTGCTTGAAGGCGGCTGGTTCGTGCACTCAATGCTCCTCATCCTGTGTCCACTTTCCCTCGCACAGGAGCTTGACCATGAACCTCACTGCTTTCGGCCTGGCCGGCCTGATCGGCATGGCTGCCACCGCCCCGGTTGTCGCCGCCGAGCCGGTCCACCCCACCATCCGCCATATGGTCGGCGCCCCGGCGGCCACCTCGCTCGACGCAGCGAAGACGGCCGTGCTGGTGATCGACTTCCAGAACGAGTATTTCGACGCCAGCGCCGCAGCCGGTTTCGCCGGTGGTCGCATGGTCATTCCCGATGGCATGACGGCACTGCGGCAGACGCGCCGCGTGGTCGACTTCGCCGATGCCAACGGCATCCGCGTGATCCATGTGCAGCACGTGTTGCCGGCCGGCGCGCCGCTGTTCGCAGAGGGTAGCGTCAACGCCGCCTTCCACCGTGACATGCAGCCGCGCAAGGGCGAGACCGTGGTGCAGAAGGACAACGTCAGCGTGTTCGCCGGTGCCTCGGCGGCCGTGCTCGACAAGGCGCTGAAGGACGCCGGTATCGACACCCTGATCGTCACCGGCCTGCAGACCCATGCCTGCGTTGCCGGTGCTGCGCGCGATGCCGCTGCAGCGCCGCGCGGCTATCGGGTGATCGTCGCCTCCGATGCCTCTGCCAGCCGTGATCTGGATCTGGCCAATGGCGGGACCATCGGCCATCGCGCATTGCATGAGGCGTCGCTGGCGCAGATCGAGGATGCCTTTGGCGAGGTCATGACCACCTCGGCGATCCTGGCCCTGCCGGTGCGCAAGGCAGGCAACGGCACTTGATAAGCTGGCGGGGTCCGCAGCCTGCGGGCCCCGCCGACTGGAGTCACCTCCCGATGGATCATTTCGCCGCCCTGCGAGCCCTGCGCGCGATCGTCGATGCAGGCAGTTTCACTGCCGCCGCCGAGCGGCTGGATACCACCCATTCGGCGATGTCGCGGCAGTTGCGTCAACTTGAAGAGCACCTGCAGGTGCGGCTGCTGGATCGCAACAGCCGGCGGCTGTCGCTGACCGAGGCCGGGCGCGACTATTACCGCGAGGCGGTGGCGCTGCTTGACCGGCTGGAGGCCGCCGATGACCGTGCGCGGGCCGGCCAGGCCCAGCCCAGCGGGCGCGTGCGGGTCAGCGTGCCGCAGGTGGTCGCCAGCCAGGAGTTGCCGCATTGGCTGCCTGGCTTCCTGGCGCGCTATCCGCAGGTGGCACTGGAACTGTCGGCCGACGATCAGCTGGTCGATGTGGTTGGCGGTGGCTTCGATCTGGCCCTGCGCATCGCACCGTCTTTGCCTGACAGCCAACTGGTCGCCCGTGAACTGGCGCGCTGCCCGCGCATCCTGGTTGCGGCACCAGCCTACCTGGCCCGGCATGGACTGCCTCGACAGGTTGCCGATCTGCAGAACCACACGTTGTTGGCATTCAACCCGGTTGCTGCGATCACGCCGTGGCAGCTGCACGGGCCGCGCGCTGCCATCGTCAGCGTGGAGGCCGGTCAACGACTGCGCGTGGACGCCACGCCGGCACTGTATGCGGCCGTGCTGGCCGGCATGGGCATCAGTCTGTTCACCGCGCTCACGGTGCAGGAAGACCTGCGCGCCGGCCGGTTGATCCGCGTGCTGCCCAGCTGGGGCGGTGGCACGCGCTGCTATTTCGCGCTGTATCCCCATGCGCGCGCGCTGGCACCGAAGGTGCGCGCGCTGGTCGATCATCTGGCCGCGCATTACGCTGCAGCGTCGGGTGCGGCAGGGTAGTCGCACGGCAGCGGTGGGGAGTAGGGATGGAGTCGGTGTATCTGCTGGTCGCGCTGGGCGCGATCGTCGCGGGGTTCGTACAGGGCCTGTCGGGTTTCGCGTTCGGCATGGTCGCGATGTCGTTCTGGGCGTGGGGGCTGGATCCCCGGCTTGCGGCGACGCTGTCGGTGTTCGGCGCGCTGGTCGGCCAGTTGCTGGCGGTGTTCACCGTGCGCCGTGGCTTCAACCTGCGTTTGCTGCTGCCGTTCGTGCTCGGCGGGTTGGCGGGCATTCCGCTTGGCGTGCTGGTGCTGCCACTGCTGGACATGGTCTGGTTCAAGGCGCTGCTGGGAGGATTCCTGGCGCTGTGGTGCCCGGTGATGCTGATGGCGCGTTCGTTGCCACCGGTCACCGTTGGCGGCCGGTTCGGCGACGCGCTGGCCGGCATGGCCGGCGGTGTGCTCAGTGGCATCGGCGGCTTTGCCGGACCGGTACCGACGCTGTGGAGCACGCTGCGTGGCTTCGGCAAGGACGAGCAGCGCGCGGTCATCCAGAACTTCAACCTGGCGATGCTGGCGGTGACCATGGCGACCTATGTCGGTACCGGCATGGTCAGCCGGCAGATGCTGCCGTACTTCGCCATCGTCGCGCCGGCGATGCTGGTGCCAACGCTGCTGGGGGCGAAGCTGTATGTCGGTATCAGTGAGGCGCGTTTCCGGCAGATCGTGCTGGGGCTGTTGACGGCCTCCGGCGTTGCCATGCTGGCCTCGTCATTGCCGTTGCTGCTGTCCCGTGGGGCGGCGGGATGAGGGCTCAGGCGGGCCGCAGCATGCGGAAGCGTTGCTCGGCGCTGATCCGGAAATAGTCGGCCGGTCCGCCGCCGCGCAGGATGGTGTCGCTTGCTGCAGTGTCGTAGATGCCGTCGACGAGCAACCGCGTATCGATATGCACGGCGACCACTTCTCCCAGTACCAGCCAGCCATTGGTGTCGTTACCGGCCGCATCACGCAGACGCACGATCTGCGTGCAGCGGCACTCCATGCTTACCGGGCTCTGCGCCACGCGCGGCGGTGCAACCTGCTCCGAGGCCAGTGGTGTCAGCCCCGCCAATGCGAACTCGTCCACTTCGGGCGCGACTGCGCGGCAGCTTTCGTTCATTGCCTGGGCCAGATCGAATGTGGCGAGGTTCCAGACGAACTCGCCGGTTGCTTCGATGTTGCGCAGCGAATCCTTGCGCCCCTGGCTGCTGAAACCAATGATCGGCGGGGTGTAGTTGAAGGCGTTGAAGAAGCTGTAGGGCGCCAGGTTCACATTGCTTTCGGCGTCACGACTGGAGATCCAGCCGATGGGGCGCGGGCCGATGATGGCGTTGAACGGATCATGTGGCAGGCGATGGCCGTCGGCCGGACGATAGCTGTGGAAGCGGCGAGGGAGGGTGTCTGCCATGGGCGTGTTTCCGGAGGAGTCGAGCGTGCTCGACGCTACAAAAAAAGGCCGCGATCCCGACGGACCGCGGCCTTGTCGTTTACGGCATGGACTGGATCAGCGCTGCTGGATCTTCGACAGCAGGCGCAGGAACTCCACATACAGCCAGACCAGGGTCACCATCAGGCCGAATGCGCCATACCATTCCATGTACTTCGGCGCGCGCTGGGCCGCGCCGGTTTCGATGAAGTCGAAATCCAGCACCAGGTTCAGCGCAGCAACCACCACCACGAACAGGCTGAAGGCGATGCCCCAGCCGCTTGAGGAATGGATCAGCGGCACCTGGATGTTGAAGAACGACAACACGAACGAAGCCAGGTACAGCAGGGCGATGCCGCCTGTGGCAGCGACCACGCCGAGCTTGAAGTTCTCGGTGGCCTTGATCACGCCGCTGCGGTAGGCGATCAGCAATGCGAACAAGGTGCCGAAGGTCAGCAGCACCGCCTGGAACACGATGCCCGGGAAGCGCAGTTCGAACAGCGCGGAAATCGCACCCAGGAACAGGCCTTCCACCAGCGCATACATCGGCGCGGTGACCGGTGACCACTCCTTCTTGAAGATGGTGATCAGGGCCAGCACCAGGCCGCCGATCGCGCCGCCCATGGCGTACAGCTTGGCGCCGGCCATCACCTGGCCGTAGTCGTCCACGCTCTGGTTCCAGGCGAAGGCGGCGGTCAGCACGGTCAACAGCAGCAGGAGGCCGGTCTTGTTGACGGTGCCGTTGATGGTCATGGCCTGGTCGGGGCTGGTCACCACCGAGCCACTGGCCAGATCGAGGAAGGTCGACTCGGAAAGAGCCGGGTTGCCGCTGCGCATGCGAGGTCTCCGTGCGAAAAGGGGGCGATTCGGCCATCCGGCCGCTGGCTGCGAGCATAGCCGATGGCTGCGTAAGTTGTGGTAATGGCGGGGCGGGGCGGGGATTGCGCGTTGACAGTTCGCACGACGCTTGGCCACAATGGTCAGCTCCCCGGGTCCAGGCCCGAGGGGATTGCAACACCGGGGTATAGCGCAGTCTGGTAGCGCGCCTGCTTTGGGAGCAGGATGTCGGGGGTTCGAATCCCTCTACCCCGACCAATCCACGTCACGTCGGATTGGACGCCGTTCCGGTTCGGGCGCCCGTAGCTCAACTGGATAGAGCACCGGCCTTCTAAGCCGGCGGTTACAGGTTCGATTCCTGTCGGGCGCGCCATTGGTGCGGCACCGGAACGCAGCTGGCGGATGTGAAGAAGTGCTTGCAAAAGCCTGGCGACTCCACCAGAATGTCGGACTCGCTTCGGCGGACCGGAACTTCGGTGACAGTCCTCAGGCAACGTATCAAGCGGCAACGTCGGCAGTATCGACGGTGAAGCGAAAGTTTCAGTGGTGGCTGTAGCTCAGTTGGTTAGAGTACCGGATTGTGATTCCGGTGGTCGGGGGTTCGAATCCCCTCAGCCACCCCACTGATTCAACCGCATCGGCAACGCCGAAACGGTATTGCAATAAACAGAGTGCACGCTACAATGTGCGCCTGAGTTTCAGGGGCTGTTAGCTCAGTTGGTAGAGCAGTTGACTCTTAATCAATAGGTCCAAGGTTCGAATCCTTGACAGCCCACCAAGACAGAAGCCATCGGGTCCGCCCGGTGGCTTTTTTCTTCAGATGTAACCCTTCGCGATGGATCGCTGGTTGCAGTGCTTGTTTCAACCAGGTTGAAGAAAGTGCTTGCAACGCCCTCGCGGATCGGGTCATAATTCGCCCCCCGATTTCGGGCTGTTAGCTCAGTTGGTAGAGCAGTTGACTCTTAATCAATAGGTCCAAGGTTCGAATCCTTGACAGCCCACCAGACGAAAGCCACTTGGTCCGCCAAGTGGCTTTTTTCTTTATGTCTCCGCTGGCGTGGAGCCGGCTGGAGGATAGCCCCCTTGAGTCAAGGGGGCGCGGCGAAGCCGGGGGGATGTGGGTGTTGGTGAGAGGGGCCCACGCGGTGCGCAGCAGCGCGTGGGGCGGCAGCGCGAATGCGCAGCCGCGTCCCCAAGGTTCGAATCCTTGACAGCCCACCAGACGAAAGCCACTTGGTCCGCCAAGTGGCTTTTTTCTTGCCTTCGACAGCATTGGTAGGTCCGCACCCTGCGTGGATGAAGGCTGTACGAAGCGCGCAATCCACACATGGCGCGGATCTACTGAAGCACGGCTGAAATCAGCGGCGAATGCGTCATCGGCATGTTCAATGCTGTGAGCTGCTTCTCACCGGTTGCCATCGGCATCGCTCCCAATAGGCGTTCCGCGCCGAAGGCGCATGTATGAGGAATGCTTTGATGGCCATTAACAGAGCTGTGGGTCTGATGCTGTCCGGCCTGGCGGTGATCGTGCTGTCAGGTTGCAGGGCGGACGACGCCACCACTGCCGGGGCTGCGCCGGATCACGCGCAGACGGTGGAGCGCGCTGCGGATGTCGAGCATGTCCCCGCGCAGCCGGTCGACACGGCGATGGCAATGCGTCCGGCCCAAGCGACGGGGGAGGGGGTGCCTGCGGATGCTGTTGAAATGAAGCGCTCTGAAGACGGCGCGACGCTTGAGGCCCGCAAGCGCGATGCTGCGGTAGGCAGCGATGGTGCGGCGTCGGGGCAGGTGCAGCCCGCGCATTGATCCGGTGGCCCGGGTCGGCACCCTCCGCCCGGGCCGCTTTCTCTATCAAGTGGCGTATTCAGTTTTGTGGAAGCCTTCCGCTTTCCGCCCCCGCCTGCAACAATGAACACCTGAGCCGGCCACGCGAAAGTGGCGGAATTGGTAGACGCCCTGGATTTAGGTTCCAGTGCCGCAAGGCGTGGGGGTTCGAGTCCCCCCTTTCGCACCAGGCCGGCCCGTCCCCCCGCCCAGTCGGGCATTCCGCGTCAACCCCTGCGCCCCGCCATGCTGGCGGCGCCGCCCGAATTGGGCGAAACTAAAGGGCTGCGGCAAGCAGGCGCGTCAACGACGTCGTGTCCTTACAACCGTTTCATCCATCATCGAGCCGGGGGCCAGGGCGCCACCGGTGGCAGGAGTCAACATGCAAGCTTCGATCGAAACCATCGGCAACCTGGAACGCCGCCTGAGCTTCTCGCTGCCGGAAGACCGTCTGCAGAGCCACATCAACGGCCGCCTGGGCGAAATCGCCCGCACCACCCGCATCAAGGGTTTCCGCCCGGGCAAAGTGCCGGCCAAGGTGATCGAGCAGCGCTTCGGCGCGCAGGTCCGTGGCGAGGCACTTGACGGCCTGCTGCGCGAAACCTTCGACGCCGCCGTGCGCGAGCACGACCTGCGCATCGTCGGCAGCCCGCGCATCGACAAGGGTGACGAGGGCGAGTTCTCCTTCGTGGCCACCGTCGAAGTGGTGCCGGACTTCGGTGATATCGACGTCAGCAAGCTGACCGTCGTGCGCCACACCGCCGAGATCACCGATGCCGACATCGACCAGATGATCGAGAACCTGCAGACCCAGCGTCGCAGCTGGTCGCCGGTCACCCGTGCCGCACAGGACGGCGACCTGGTCGCACTGGAAACCTGGTCGCAGGCCGGTGACGAGCGCCTGCCGGCGGAAGGCACCGAGAAGGGCAGCATCGTGCTCGGCCAGGGCATGATGTTCGAGACCATCGAGCAGGGCCTGGTCGGCATGACCAAGGACGAAGAGAAGACCCTGGACGTCGAGTTCCCGGCTGACTGGCGCGTGCCGGCGCTGGCGGGCAAGACCGTGCAGGTCACCGTCAAGGTCACCGACGTGTCCGAGCCGGTCGTGCCGGCCGTCGATGAAGCCTTCATCAAGAGCTTCGGCGTGAAGGGCGGCGACGTCGAGCAGTTCCGCAGCGACATCCGCGCCAACCTCGAGCGCGAGCTCAAGGGCGCGCTGATGAACCGTCTGCGTCGTGAAGTCGGCGAGCAGCTGATCGCGGCCTACGCTTCGGTGGAAATGCCGCCGCGCCTGGTCGAGAACGAAGCCCGCGCCATGCTGGCCCAGCAGGTCGAGCAGATCCGCCGCAGCGGCCGCAACCCGGGCGAGATCCCGGCCGATGCCCACGAAGGCTTCAAGGACGCCGCTGCCAAGCGCGTGCTGGTCGGCCTGGTGGTCGGCGAAGTGGCCCGCAGCAACGACCTGCGCCTGGAGCCGAAGCGTCTGAATGAAACGATGCGTCTGATCGCTTCGACCTACGAAGAGCCGGAGCAGGTCATTGAGATGTACCGCAACGACCCCCAGCTGATGTCTGGCCTGCAGAACCGCGTGATGGAAGAGCAGGTGATCGACTGGATCGCCGAGCGCGCCCAGCACACTGAAGAAAAGCTGTCGTTCCAGGACGCGATCCGCCAGTAATCCCTGGCGGATTGCCGGATACCCCGCGCCAACCCTGGCGCGGGGGTGTTTCCCCCCAAGATAGGTACCTCACGAAATGGACAACCGAACCAAAGCCCTGAACATGGTTCCCATGGTGGTCGAGCAGACCAGCCGCGGCGAGCGTGCCTACGACATCTATTCGCGCCTGTTGAAGGAGCGCCTGATCTTCCTGGTTGGCCCGATCGACGATCACATGGCCAACGTGGTGGTGGCGCAGCTGCTGTTCCTGGAAGCGGAAAACCCGGAAAAGGACATCAGCATCTACATCAACTCGCCGGGTGGCGTGGTCACCGCCGGCATGGCGATCTACGACACCATGCAGTACATCAAGCCGGACGTGAGCACCATCTGTGTCGGCCAGGCCGCCTCGATGGGCGCGCTGCTGCTGGCGTCCGGTGCAGCCGGCAAGCGCTATGCGCTGCCGAACTCGCGGGTGATGATCCACCAGCCGCTGGGCGGCTTCCAGGGCCAGGCCACCGACATCGACATCCACGCACGCGAGATCCTGACCCTGCGTGCGCGCCTGAACGAAGTGCTGGCCAAGCACACCGGCCAGTCGCTGGAGACCATCGCGCGTGATACCGAGCGCGACAACTTCAAGAGCGCGGTCGATGCGGTCGCCTACGGCCTGGTCGACCAGGTCCTGGAGCGTCGTCCGGAAGAGTCGATCCAGGCCGGCTGACCGGCACTCACGGGGCCATGGCAGGCCCCGTTCCTGCAGGGTCGGGTGGACTGATGTCCCTCCGGCCCTGTGTTATTCTCGAATCGAACCCCCGTTCAGCGGGCGGCGTAACTGGGTAAGCGAAGCATGAGCGAAGACCGCCAAGGTCGTTCCACGGACACCGGCAAGATCCTCTACTGCTCTTTCTGCGGCAAGAGCCAGCATGAAGTGCGCAAGCTGATTGCCGGTCCGAGCGTGTTCATCTGCGATGAGTGCGTGGAGCTGTGCAACGACATCATCCGTGAAGAGCTTGAGGAAAAGGCGCAGTCGGCACGCAGTTCGCTGCCCAAGCCGCGCGAGATCCTCGAGGTGCTCGACCAGTACGTGATCGGTCAGAACCGCGCGAAGCGGACGTTGGCCGTGGCCGTGTACAACCACTACAAGCGCATCGAGAGCCGCCAGAAGAACGACGAAGTCGAGCTGGCGAAGTCGAACATCCTGCTGGTCGGTCCGACCGGTTCGGGCAAGACCCTGCTGGCCGAAACACTGGCCCGCCTGCTCAACGTGCCGTTCACCATGGCCGACGCCACCACGCTGACCGAAGCCGGTTACGTGGGCGAGGACGTGGAGAACATCATCCAGAAGCTGCTGCAGAAGTGCGACTACGACGTCGAGAAGGCACAGCAGGGCATCGTCTACATCGATGAAATCGACAAGATCTCGCGCAAGAGCGAGAACCCGTCGATCACCCGCGATGTGTCCGGCGAAGGCGTGCAGCAGGCCCTGTTGAAGCTGATCGAAGGCACCGTGGCCAGCGTTCCGCCGCAGGGTGGGCGCAAGCATCCGCAGCAGGAATTCCTGCAGGTGGACACCAAGAACATCCTGTTCATCTGCGGCGGCGCGTTCGCCGGCCTGGACAAGGTGATCCAGCAGCGTTCCAACGACGCCGGCGGCATTGGTTTCGGCGCCAAGGTGAAGAGCAGCGAGCGCAAGCAGGAAGTGGGCAAGGTGCTGGCCGAAGTCGAGCCGGAAGACCTGATCAAGTTCGGCCTGATTCCCGAGTTCGTGGGCCGCCTGCCGGTGGTCGCGACCCTGGAGGAGCTGGACGAGCCGGCCCTGATCCGCATCCTGACCGAGCCGAAGAACGCCATCACCAAGCAGTTCAAGAAGCTGTTCGAGATGGAGAACGTCGAACTGGAGTTCCGTCCGGACGCGTTGTCGGCCATCGCCAAGAAGGCGCTCAAGCGCAAGACCGGCGCCCGTGGCCTGCGTACCATCGTCGAATCGGTCCTGCTGGACACCATGTACGACCTGCCTTCGCAGGAAAACGTCAGCAAGGTTGTCGTGGATGAATCGGTGATCGAGCACAAGTCCGAGCCGTACCTGATCTACCAGACCCCACCGGCCCCTGAACAGAAGGCCGCTGGCGCCGAATGATTCTTTCAACTTGTTGAATAGAAAGAATTTTCTCGGAACGTCTTGCATCTGAAAGCCGATGGCCCCATAACGGGGCCATCGGCTTTTTTTGTCTCCGGAAGATGCCCTCCCGGAGACGGTTTTCCCCTTCCCTGGAGCCCCCATGGCCCGTTCCCCAAGTGAGACCCTCGACCTGCCGGTCCTGCCGCTGCGCGACGTAGTGGTATTCCCGCACATGGTCATCCCGCTGTTCGTCGGCCGCGACAAGTCCATGCACGCGCTGGAGCAGGCGATGGAAGCGGACAAGCGCATCCTGCTGCTGGCGCAGAAGTCGGCCGAGACCGATGACCCTCAGGCCGCCGACCTCTACCAGGTCGGCACCCTGGCGCAGGTGCTGCAGCTGCTGAAGCTGCCCGACGGCACCATCAAGGTGCTGGTCGAAGGCCTGTCGCGCGTGCAGGTGACCAGCGTCAGCGAACGCGATGGCTCGCTGCACGGCCAGGCCGTGGAAATCGACGCCACCGACGCACGCGAGCCGCGCGAGATCGAGGCCATCGCCCGCTCGCTGATGTCGCTGTTCGAGCAGTACGTCAAGACCAACCGCAAGCTGCCACCGGAGCTGCTGCAGACCCTGGCCGGCATCGATGAGCCGACCCGCCTGGCCGACACCATCGCCGCGCATATCAGCGTGCGGTTGTCGGACAAGCAGCGCCTGCTGGAAACGCTGGCCGTGGGCGAACGCCTGGAGATGCTGGTCGGTCTGGTCGACGGCGAGATCGACGTGCAGCAGATGGAAAAGCGCATCCGCGGCCGCGTGAAGTCGCAGATGGAAAAGAGCCAGCGCGAGTACTACCTCAACGAACAGATGAAGGCCATCCAGAAGGAGCTGGGTGACCTTGACGACGCGCCGGGCGAACTGGAAGAGCTGGCCCGCAAGATCGCCGAAGCGGGCATGCCCAAGCCGGTGGAAACCAAGGCGCGCAACGAACTCAACAAGCTCAAGCAGATGTCGCCGATGTCTGCCGAAGCGGCGGTCGTGCGCAACTACCTGGAGTGGCTGCTGGGCGTGCCGTGGAAGAAGCGCAGCAAGGTGCGCAAGGACCTGAAGGCTGCGCAGGACACTCTCGATGCCGATCACTACGGTCTGGAGAAGGTCAAGGAACGCATCCTTGAATACCTGGCGGTGCAGTCGCGGGTGAAGCAGATGAAGGGGCCGATCCTGTGCCTGGTCGGGCCGCCGGGCGTGGGCAAGACCTCGCTGGGCCAGTCCATCGCCAAGGCCACCAACCGCAAGTTCGTGCGCATGTCGCTGGGCGGCGTGCGCGACGAAGCCGAGATCCGTGGCCACCGTCGTACCTATGTCGGTTCGATGCCGGGCCGCATCGTGCAGAACCTCAACAAGGTCGGCAGCAAGAACCCGCTGTTCGTGCTGGACGAGATCGACAAGATGTCGATGGATTTCCGCGGCGATCCGTCCTCGGCGCTGCTGGAAGTGCTCGATCCCGAGCAGAACAACGCGTTCAACGACCACTACCTGGAAGTGGACCTGGACCTGTCTGAAGTGATGTTCGTTGCGACGTCCAACTCGCTCAACATCCCGGGCCCGCTGCTGGACCGCATGGAAGTGATCCGCATCCCGGGTTACACCGAGGATGAGAAGCTCAACATCGCCACCCGTTACCTGTCGCCCAAGCAGATCAAGGCCAACGGCCTGAAGCCGGAAGAGCTGGAGATCGGCAGTGATGCGATCCAGGACATCGTGCGCTATTACACACGCGAATCCGGCGTGCGCAACCTGGAACGCGAGATCGCAAAGATCTGCCGCAAGGTGGTGAAGGAAATCGCGCTGGGCGGGCCGCAGCCGGTGGCGAAGGCGAAGAAGGGGGCGCGCAAGTCCAAGGCGCTGGTGAGCGTGTCGAGCAAGAACCTGGACAAGTACCTGGGCGTGCGTCGCTTCGACTTCGGCCGTGCCGAAGAAGAGAACGAGGTCGGCCTGGTCACGGGCCTGGCCTGGACCGAAGTCGGTGGCGATCTGCTGCAGATCGAATCGACGCTGGTACCGGGCAAGGGCCAGCTGATCCTGACTGGCCAGCTCGGCAACGTGATGAAGGAATCGGCGTCGGCGGCGTTGTCGGTGGTGCGCTCGCGCGCGGAGCGCTTCGGCATCGATGTGGATTTCCTGCAGAAGCACGACGTGCATCTGCATGTGCCCGATGGTGCGACGCCGAAGGATGGTCCCAGTGCCGGTGCGGCGATGGTGACTTCGCTGGTGTCGATGCTGACCAAGGTCGCCGTGCGCGCCGACGTGGCGATGACCGGCGAAATCACCCTGCGTGGTCGCGTCACCGCGATCGGCGGCCTGAAGGAGAAGTTGCTCGCAGCCCTGCGCGGCGGAATCCGCACGGTGATCATCCCCGATGAGAACCGCAAGGATCTTGCCGACATTCCGGCCAACGTCACCCGCGATCTGCAGATCGTGCCGGTGAAGTACATCGAGGAAGTGCTCGATCTGGCGCTGGAACGTCCGCTGGCACCGAAGAAGACACGCAAGAGTGCGCAGCGCGTCACGGTGCGCAGCAAGGCCAAACCGAGTGGAAACGCGCGCGTCAAGCATTGATGCGTCCTGTCGAAATGCTTGAAACCCGCGTCGTTGCTGGCTTTCCAGCTTGCGTGGGGGTAGGGGCGCTGGTATAAAAGCAGCACTCGCGAATGAGTGATCGCAGTCAGCGCTCACTGAATTCGGCGAACCGTTTCCACATGGCAACCGCATGCAGACGTCGTGCGGTTGCTTCCCTGTCGAATACGCGGAACCCACCGCCAAAGGAGTTGTAAAGAATGAACAAGACCGAATTGATCGATGCCGTTGCTGAAGCTGCCGACCTGACCAAGGCCGAGTCCAGCCGCGCTGTCGATGCCGTCGTTGCTGCCGTCACCAAGGCGCTGAAGGACGGCGATGCGGTCACCCTGGTTGGCTTCGGTACCTTCCAGGTCCGCGACCGTGCTGCCCGCACCGGCCGCAACCCGAAGACCGGCGACACCATCAAGATCGCTGCTTCGAAGAATCCGTCGTTCAAGGCTGGTAAGGCCCTGAAGGATGCTGTAAACTAAGTGGCTCGCTGGGGTGCTTAGCTCAGCGGTAGAGCGTCTCCTTTACACGGAGAGGGTCGGGGGTTCGAAACCCTCAGCACCCACCACAGCACCGCGGTAAGTTTGAAATGTGGAGCGGTAGTTCAGCTGGTTAGAATGCTGGCCTGTCACGCCGGAGGTCGCGGGTTCGAGTCCCGTCCGCTCCGCCATTTTCAACGAGGCCCCCGGCCGAAAAGCTGGGGGCCTTGTTTTCTCTCCAACCACCCGGTTGCAGAGAAAACAAAGAGGTCTGCAATACGGAGCGGTAGTTCAGCTGGTTAGAATGCTGGCCTGTCACGCCGGAGGTCGCGGGTTCGAGTCCCGTCCGCTCCGCCA